TCTACCCGGCGATACCGAGTGATCGGTGATCTACCGGCACGGGCCGCGCTCTATGTGAGGAGTGATGGCATTAACCAGAGCCAAGGTGTAAATCGCAGAATTCCTATACCGGTCTCGCGACGCGCCGCCGCCGCCGCCGCCTTGGACAGCAAAACGCTCGACTTTGAGCGCCCGAGACGGCTTGCGGTTGGCGGTGGGGCAGAGCTGGGGGACGGCTCGGGGAGGTGAACACCAGCGGCGGCGAAGATGCGCGCGACGGAGGCGTGTCCGCGCGTTGTTTGCATGCGGTGGGCGTAGGTGCAGCGGAGAGTCGGAGCGGTGGTGGAGGTGGTGGAGCTGGGATTGGGCCTGGACGAAGAGGAGACAAGGTTAGCGTTTGTGAAGAGAAGGTAAATCAAACGCCAAAACCCAAAAGCAAAGACAAAAGTAAGAGCGAGAAAAATAAGATCAGAGTGCGAAACGAGGCAACGCCGTCCGCACCCAAAGATTAGATCAAGGGCGAAATGAAGGAGAATAGTCGAAAGGCGAAAAAGAGAAAGCGAAAGAAAGAGGAATCGCAACAAGAAAACGAAGCGCAAAAAAAAAAACCCACTCACCCCCACTCAAAAACAAACTCCCCCCCAAGCAACCTAATATCCCCACCCCGCTCCCACACCGGCATCCCCGCCCGTAGCGCGCGCAACAACACCGCGCCCACGCCCCCGAGCGCAGAATGCGTGATGTACGAGCCAGGCGCGGCGTGTGGGTCTGCGTCTGCGTCTGGTACTGCTTCGGCGCTACCTGAATCGGCAGCGCGTGAAGACTGGGCGTGCGCGTACGCGGAGTGCGAAGCGGTCGGCGAAGTAGGCGAAAGCGGAGCGTCAAACTCCGGAATCGGCGCACGCCCCGCCCCCCCACTCGCCGCCCTCGCAAACCCACTACTAAACGCCTGGCCCCTACGTGCCGGACTCGTAGTGGTGGGCGCAGCGAACGCAGCCGGCGGCATACTCACGCTCCTCCCCATCCCCGTCCCGATCCCCGCTCCCACCCCTTTGCCTTTCCCGCCCTTGCCCTTCTGATTCACCTTCACACCCGCATTTTTGGGCGACACGGGCGTAGGCGGGATCGGCAGGGGCACCCCCGGCACAAAGCCAACGCTCTCCATCGCCTCCATGCCCCCTCGCACGTCCCTCCCGTCAGGTGCAAACGCGGGGGCGATCGGCGACCCGCTTGCCGACGCGAGGAACGACGGCACAGTCGGCGACACAACGGGCGACGCAGTCGGCGAAAGCGAGCCGGCCCACCCCATCCCCAGCGCGGCGTACACCCCCTCCTGCGGACGCGGGTCGACGAAGAGTCGGATGGAAGCGATCCCGCGCGGTTTTCGTGCGCTTCGTTTGGGAGTAGCGCCAGCGTGCGCGTGCGCGTGCTCCTCATTCGGCGGGTGGTGGTTCGCGGAAGTCGGCGGGGTAGGCGAACCGGGCGACTCGGCAGACGCGAGGGGAGCGAGCGAAGGAAACCCAAACGACGCTAAATAGCGCTCCGCGAGCGTGTGCGCGCCGGGGGCGATGAGGAGGAGGTGCGTCCCTTCTCCTTCTCCTCCTTCGTCCTCATCTCCCGCATCTCCCGCATCCGCCTCACTTGCTGCAAAGGCCGGGGACGATGCGTATGCGGATGGAGTAGCCGGGGACGTGGACACCTCCTACCAAAGGAAATCGTCAGCATCCTAGTCCTCAACAAAAAGTCGAACAAAATAATACAGTACACGTACATGCTCGGGTCGTTCGCGTTCCCCTTCTACACCCGAAGCCACCAACCCCTCCAAATACGCCATCTCCTCTTCCCCGCCCCCGCCCTCGCCCGCGGCGCACATCGCACACCTCTTTCCCTCCCCCGCGTCCTTCACATCCTCCTCCTCGGCGTCCACAACCCCCCTCACCCCCCTCCCCAGCGCAACCATATAGTCCTGACACAGCGGACACCAAAAGTGGCGCAGGAAGATGACGAGCGTGCGGCGCGTCTTGGTGGTGGGCGAGGAAGGGGGAGAAGGAGGCGGCAGCAGCTCGATGAACCTGCTTGCGCGTCTGTTCGTCTTGGTCGCTTCATCGTCTCCTGCTGGTGAATCCGGCTCCGTGGGAAGCGCCGAATCCTCCTCCCTACCCCCGTCCTCCTTCTCCTCCCCACGCTCCTCCTCGAGCGCAACAACGAACGGAACCGGAACACCCAAAACATCCCCAAACCTGACCCGTACCCCACTCGGCGCGACGAGCGGCAGCGCGAGCGCGCGGCGCAGCGCCGCGGGCGAGGGGGGCTGCAGGGCGGGGAGGGGGGGCGGTTTCTTCGGATTCGTGGTCGTGTTCGTGTTGGTATTCGTATCCGGCGTTTCGAGTTTGAGGTTGCGCGGCGGGTTGGCAGTGTGAGGAAAAGCAGGTGAAAGAGGCGAAGACGCGTCGGCGAAGGTAACGCTCGTGGGGGAGGGCAGGACGCGCGGGGAGGTGATGTTTAGGACGGGCGAATAAGCGCTTGACGCCGACGCCGACTTTGTTGCCGACGCGGGGGAGAGTGGGGAGGTCGGCGAGAGGGGCGAGAGGGGCGGGGACGTGAACATGGTCTCGCCTGAGGTACGCGAGGAGCTGGAGCCGGAGCCCGAACTGTTCGAGGAACGGGAGGCGGTGCTTGAGGTGGGGGAGACAAGTGGGAGGGGGAGGGTGTGTGACCTACGTAGACAAGGTTAGCACAAGTTTTGTTTCGAGAACGAGGCCAGGTAGAGAAAGAGGTAAAGGGGAAGGAAGGGAGAGAACGAAGAACGAGAAAGAGAAAGACACCCACCCAGCGCTAGCGTCAACGAGCTTGAGCGGCGGCGGCACCAAAGTCGCACTCGAAGTAGACCCAAGAGGCAAATCAAGCAACGCCACGGGCCGCTGCGCGCGCGCAAAGGCAGCGAGCTCGGGCGGGACCATGCCCGCGGGCATCTGCGCGACGGGCGTGGGGATGGAGATGGTGTGCTTGCGGATGCCGGGCGCGTCGTCCTTGTCCTTACCGTCCTTGTCCTTGGTAGTGCCCTTAGCTGGCGAGGTGGAAGAAGAATGCGAGTGGGGGAGCAGCAGACGCGCGAGGCGGGTCCGCGGGGCGTGCGCGGGCACCTGCGTGGTCGCCATCGACTGCGACTTCGGTATCGCTATCGGCGGGGGCGCGGACGCTGCCAGCGAGTTTGCAGACGACTGGGCGCGACGACGCGTCGTGTAATGCGGACTATGCGGCTGCGCGTGACCGTGGCCGTGGCCATGGCCGGTGGAAGACGTGGGCGAGACGGGGGTTGTGGGCGGGAGGTCTGGGTAGAGGGCGAAGGAGTGTCTTTTGTCGTTGAGGGTGGGGCTGGTGCTGGCGGCGAAACTGAGCACGCTGAGGGCATCGTCGTCGAGCTTGGGCGCGGGCTTGCGTCGTACGCGGGTCGCCATCTTGGCTTGTCTTGAGCCTTGTGGATTGCGGGCGGGGTTATGAATCGCGGAAGGGTTGCGGGCGGAAGGAAAGGAGTTTCGCGCGGGTAAAGTGGACAGGTTTGCGCGGATATCCCGCCAGGGTCGCGATTAAAAGGCGTTTTCTGCACGCTTCCAGTTCGTGGCTTCCCTCGCTTCCACACGTGTATTAGGCCTTGCCCATCCTCGCTTTATCCTTCTCTGTTAAGCGCATTTCCCTACCCAATTAACTCCGTCTCCTGTGTCTGTGTCTTTCCAAGTATTTTGCGGCCGCGGGTAGCCATCGAATTGTGGTCGACAAAAGGAAAGATTGGTCGGCGACTAAATATTCGCCGGCCTCCTCTCTGTTCCTCAACGCCCACCACGTCGACCACAACGAGCTCCGCTCTGGCCTCCCCGGCGACAGCTACCCCCTACTCCTTGATGCACTAGCGTCGTCCGGCCTGTTCGTCCCCGCTGCCCGCTTCCCCCTTCCTCGGACTCTCGAATTGGTGTTCCCAATCCTGGAGTGACGCCACCACCAACTTGAATTAATCTGACCGCTCATTTACGATGCCTCAAACGGACCGCCTTTCGGAGGATCCCTCATAATGCACAACCATTTATCATCGCTCACTCGAGATAATGTCTCTCATGACCGCCTCTCCCTAACAACCTCTGCGCGGTCCCGGTGTCTGTCATCTAGCTACTTATTTAATTCAAGCCTACATTCCAAGGCTACGTCCTTTATCTGTCTTCTGTCCTGTCTTTCACCGCCGTCTCCATGCCAAACCACTGCCCCAAGCCTCAAGGTCTAAAGGACTCTCACAACCGACACCTCTCCACTTGCCGAACAATACCAAAGGGACCTCGCTGATCAATTTATCCTGAGTCTCATCCAATCTCGAGTTCTCGCCGGTAAACCCTGCACGCGTTAATTGGGCGCTCTCTTTGTCTTGCTCATAGTATATGTATATACAGTCCCGGCTGCGGTGCCTGCCTCGTCATCATTCATTCAGTTAATGCAAGCCGTCTTCTATCTCCCACCGTCTCTATATCCTGAAGGCCTAAGCCTCGAGGTCTCTCACACTCGACATCCACAATCTCCCGGCGAGAATGGCCCTGCACGGCTTCTTAAATTCAATTCGGCGCTCTTCCAAAGAATAAACTCACCCTGTAAATTCTTCAGCAAAGAGTATATTCCTATCAGAGTCCCGCCATTCCTTCCCATCGCTCGCTCCTTAATCACATAACAAACCTCCTACTCTCACGACGGGCAAGGACCCAGGCACATGGTTTCATGTGCCTTAAATGCACATTCCTCGCACATGCTTTGTAGATAGAGTACACAAAGAAAACAAATATTTGTTCCCCTTTGTTTCCTTTGTGCACTTTATCTCTGGCTCATGTGCGGCAAAGGTGCATTTAAGGCACATGGAAATTGTGTGCCTGGGTCTTTGCCCCCCGTGTCTCCATGCACCCCACCCCACCAATCCCAACCCCCCTCTCCCTAAATACACATGTACTCCGCGAAAAAAAAAACAATCATCATAACTCCCCGGCACATCACCCGACCCGGAATCGAACCGAGAGCCTCCTGCGTAAACCTGGGTTAGTGAACTTTGAAGTTGGGCAGGTGCACACCATGTGCTACCGAGTGTCTGCTATGTAGCTCCTAAGGTCGTTTATGTGTGGTACTTTTGAGTGAGTCCAGGCTAACTTGCACAAATCTATGAGTTCTGCGACCGGAAAGAAAGGCAAAAAAAGAAAAGGAAATCAGTTATCACCCGACCCGGAATCGAACCGGGAAACTCCTGCATAACCATCTGTCTACGAACCAGTTCAAGCAGGCACAAACCATGTGCTACCGAGTGTCTACCATGTAGCTCCTAAGGTTGTTTATATGCAGTATTTTTGAGTGAGTACAACACCAAGGCGGAGGAGGTCAACTTGAAGCCAAACTCAAAGAATAGCCAGAATAATCAATGCCAACGTCGACCTACTCACATACTCCCCTGCCTCGAAATCATGTGGGTCAACACTGAGGGTGAACAAAAGGCCCCCCAAAAAAACGGGTCCGGGAACGTCTTATCGCCCGACCCGGAATTGAACCGGGGCCTCCTGCTTAACCTTTCGAAACAAGCCAAGGTGCAGCAGTTGCACACCATGTGCTACCGAGTGTCTGCTATATAGCTCCTGAGGTTGTTTATGTGCGGTATTTTTGAGCGAGTACAAGGCTCAGAGGGACGGTGTGGAAGGGGAATCAGCTCAACTCAAGTAAAATCCACAGAATCCACTGAGCCTCTCTGCTCGGCCTTCAGCCAAACACATGTGAGTTGATACTAAGCGGGAACAAAAGGCAAAAAAACACACGGTACCAGCTCAATTATCACCCGACCCGGAATCGAACCGAGACCTCCTGCATAACCACAAATGGGGAAGCGATCCAAGTGAAGCAGGCACACACCATGTGCTACTGAGTGTCTGCTATGTAGCTCTCAAGGTCGTTAATGTGTGGTATTTTTGAGTGAGTCCAACACTAAAACAGTAACCAACAACTTGAATCCAAACTCGAGCAATAGATAAAATAATCAATGGCAATGTCAATTTCTTTCCATACCATACTCTCCTCCTCCTCAAACTTGAATCCAACCCATGTGAGCCGATACTAAGGGTGAACAAAAGGAAAAAAAAAACCACATTGGACTACTACCACTATCACTCGACCCGGAATCGAACCGGGGCCTCCTGCATAACCATCGCCAATTGACCCAGTTTAAGCAGGTGCACACCATGTGCTACCGAGTATCTACAAGCTGGTATCCAAGGTAGGGTATATGCACTATTTCTGAGCGAGTGCAAGGCTAACGGGAAGGCATGGAAGTGAAAAAGGGAATCAACTCAACTCGAGTGAAATAATAAACTAATTGATTCCTCCTCCTCCTCCTCCTCCTCTTTAAATCCAACCCAGAACTACCCAGAACTGCATGGCCCCTCTGAGCGGGACACCAATGGCAAAAGGAAGTGTGGAATGGGAAATGAAAAAAAAAAAAAAGTTGCAAAAGCATGAATCACCCAACCCGGAATTGAACCGGACCTCCTGCATGAATGTGTCTTCAAACCCTCCAGGTGAAGCAGGTGCACACCATGTACTGTTGAGTGTCCTTAGTATGGCTCCCAATTTTGTTTATATACCATTGAGTGAGTCCAACACTAAGGCGAGTTGAAAGATAAACAACAACTTGAAATCAAACTCGAGGAGTAGCCAGAATATTCAATGTCAATGTCAATTTATTTACCAACTTTCCTGCTCTTTGAACCCATGTGAGTTCATACTAAGGGTGAACAAAAGGCAAAAATTGCCAAGTTATCACCCGACTCAGAGTCGAACCGAGACCTCCTGCATGCACATGGCAAATCATCGAGGTGAAGCAGGTGCACACCATGTGCAATTAAGTGTCTACTGTACACCTTGACTTTTGAGGTTGTTCATGTGCAGTATTTTTGAGTGAGTTCAACCAAAGGTGGATTGAAAGTGAAACGGAGATCAACTCAACTCAAGTAAAATAAAATAAAATAACTAACTGATGAACCTGTATTCCTCTCAAACTTGAGTCCAAATTTGTCCTTGTGAGAGACCCGAGCGAAACGGAAATGTGCAGAGGAAAATATGTAAAATAAAATACTCGTGGAAAATGATTATCACCCGACCCGGAATCGAACCGGGGCCTCTTGCTTAGCTCTTTTGGGATGATCTGTGAAGTGAAGCAGGTGCACACCATGTACTATCGAGTGTCTACACCTTAGCTTCTGAGGTTGTTTAGTGCAGTATTTCTGAGCCAGCCTGAGTCCAAGGCTGAGGGAAAGGAAATCAACAAGCTGAACTCAATGTCAATTTCTTTCCATACATACCCTCCTCTGAAGGCCTGGAGCTCTCTGCGAGCACAACATCACAAAGAAGTATGGAAGGGGAATGAAAAAGCTGCTTGCGGCCAACTTGCGGTGGTATCACCCGACCCGGAATCGAACCGAGACCTTCTGCCTAAGTTACAGAGCACGTATTAAAGTGAAGCAGGTGCACACCATGTGCTACCGAGTGTCTATGATCCAGCTCCCAGCGTCTTTTATATGCATTACTTCTGAGCGAGTCCAAGGCTAAGAAGGAAGGCGTGAAAGTGAAAAGGGAATCAACTCAAGAGGAATAAAATAATGAACCGGTGACCCTGTGTTCCTCTGCATTCTGTAAACTCCAATCCACATGCAGTCTGTAGCCCCTACAAAAATAAGGAAAGAAAAATAAATAAAAAAGGGAACCAGTGGTTGGATATCACCCAACCCGGAATCGAATTGGGACCTCCTGCATAACCGCGAAAGATAACCCATCAAGTGAAGCAGGTGCACACCATGTGCTACCGAGTGTCTACACCTTGGCTTCTGAGGTTGTTTATGTGCAGTATTTTTGAGCGAGTCCAACACCAAGGTAGAAAAGGTAAACTCGAGCAATAGCTAGATCTAGAACAATCAAGGACAATTTCTTTACATACTCTCCTGCTCCTCGAACACATGTGAATTCATACTAAGGGATACTAAGGGTGAACAAAAGGCAAAAAAACCCCGTCAAAGGACTTATCACTCGACCCGGAATCGAATCAAGACCTCCTGCATATCCATACCCGCCACATCCAGGTCAAGCAGGTGCACACCATATGCTACCGAGTGTGTGCTATGTAGCTCCCAACGTGTTTATATGTGGTATTTTTGAGCAAGTCCAAGGGGGTGTGGAAAGGAAATCAACTCGACTCAAATAAAAGAATGAACTGTCAACCACTTTCCTATGCATTCCACGAACTCAAATTCAACGCAAACAAACCGATAAGTTCTTTGAGCTCAATTTACATCACAAGGAATGGTGGAAATACAATGAAAAAGTTCTTATCGCAGACTGCATCACCCAACCCGGAATTGAACCGGGGCCGCCTGCATAACCGTGACAAATTCCGACCAGGTGAAGCGGATGCACACCATGTGCTATCAAGTGTCTATGAGCCAGCTCCCGGCGTCTTTTATATGCATTACTTCTGAGCGAGTCTAACACCAAGGGGACGGCGTGAAAGTGAAAAAGGAATCAACTCAACTCAAATCTGCTCGACTTTCAGTCAACCCATGTGAGTCGATATTAAGGGCGAACAAAAGGCAAAAAAAAGAGTCACTAGCTGTGTTATCACCCGACCCAGAATTGAACCGGGGGCCTCCTGCATGAACATGCTTATCAACCAAGTTTAAGCAGGTGCACACCATGTGCTATCGAGTGTCTACTAGTAGCTCCTAAGGTTGTTTATGTGTAGTATTTTTGAGTGAGTCCAACTAAAGGCGGATTGAAAGTGTAAAGCGAATCAACTCAACTCAAGAGAAATAAAATAACGAACCGGTGAACCTCTACTCCTCTCTCAAACTTCAGTCCAATCTCCTTCGTGAAAGGCCTGAGTGAAACGGAAGTGTGGAACAGGAAATAGAAAATAAAAAATTGTTTCAGGAAGCGCTATCACCCGACCCAGAATCAAACCGAGACCTCCGGCATAAACCATAATAGATTCCCAACCAAATGAACCAGGCACACACCATGTGCGATCGGGTGTCTACACCTTAATTCCTAAGGTTGTTTATGCGTGGTATTTTTAAGCCAGTCCAACACCAAGGTGGAAAAGGAAAATCAACTCAACTCAAGTAAAATCAACAGAATCTGCTGAGCCTCTCTGCTCAACCTTTAACTGAACCCATGTGAGTTGATACTAAGGATGAACAAAAGACAAAAAAAAAAAAAAGTCGCAAGAAGCACAAACCACTCGACCCGGAATCGAACCGAGGCCTCCTGCATTACCGTGATGGATCAATCAGGTGAAGCAGGGGTGTCTGCTATATAGCTCCTAAAGCTGTTTATGTGCGGTATTTGAGCTGAGGCTAAGGGAAAGGAAATCAACAACTTGAAGCCAAATGATTGATGTCAATTTTTTTACATACACACTCTCCTCCTCCTCAAACCCACGTGAGTTGATACTACTAGAGGGAACCACATGGAAAAAAAACTCTCACATCCGACAGTGGACACCTCTCCACTTGCCGAAGAATAATACCAATCACGAGTCCTCGGTATGTAGACCCTGCACGCGTTAGTTGGGCGCTCTCTTTGTCTTGCTCATAGCATATGTATACGCAGTCCCGGCTGCGGTGCCTGCCTCGTCATCATTCATTAAATTAATGCATTGAAGCCTACTTGCTATTCCCGGTCTGTCTTCGTCTTCTATCTCTCACCGTCCTACATTCCAAGGCCTAAGCCTCGAGGTCTCTCACACTCGACCCCGGCAAGAACGGCCCTGCACGGCTTCTTAAATTTAATTCAGCGCTCTTCCAAAGAATAAACTCACCCTGTAGCTCTTCAGCAAGGAGTATATTCCTGTCGGAGTCCACATAACATAATTACTCTACCTTACCCTCGCCCATCCACCTAACAATCCCAACCCTCTTCTCCCTACATATGCATGGACTGCACGAAAAACAATCATCATAACTCCCTGGCACATCACCCGACCCGGAATCGAACCGAGTGCCTCCTGCCTAAACTTGGCTTAGTGAACTTTGAAGTTGGGCAGGTGCACACCATGTGCTACCGAGTGTCCTCAGTATGGCTCCTAAGGTTGTTTATATGTGGTATGTTTGAGCGAGTTCCAAGGCCGAGAGGAGGGTGTGGAAAGCACAACTCAAATAAGAAATGAAATCAATAGAATCCACTAAGCCTCTCCGTTCGACCTTTAGCTGAACCCATGTGAGTTGACACTAAGGGTGAACGAAAGGTAAAATAAAATAAAATTTAGAGAACCGTCATCACCCGACCCGGAATCAAACTGGGACCTCCTGCTTAAATTTTAGAAATTCAACACTGAAGTGAAGCAGGTGCACACCATGTGCTCTCGAGTGTCTGCTATGTAGCTCCGAAGGTTGTTTGTGTGCACTACTTCTGAGCAAGTCCAGGGCAAAGTGGAAAGGGAATCAACTCAACTAAAATAATGAACTGTCAACCGCTTTCCTGCGTATTCTGTAAACTCCAATCTATTGCAAACCTATGAGTTCAGCGAGCACAACATACACCACAAGGAAGTGTGGAACGGGAATGAAAAAAATCTTGACACGGGCCATCACCCAACCTGGAATCGAACCAAGACCTCCTGCATATCCATACCCACCACATCCAGGTCAAACAGGTGCACACCATATGCTATCGAGTGTCTACTATGTAGCTCCTGAGGTTGCTTATGTGTGGTATTTGAGCGAGTCCAAGGCTAAGGGGAAGGTGTGAAAGTGAGAGGGGAATCAACTTGAATGAACAATGAACTCTCAACCACTTTCCTCTGCATTCTGTAAACTCCAATCCACATCCAGTCTGTAGCCTCTACGAAAACAAGGAAAGAAAAGCAAAAAAGCCAATGGCAGGCCTTCCAACCGCGCAGCTCGCGAACCAGTACACCCCATGGTTCCAAATGCAAATTAAAGTCGCACATTAGTATTGTTTCGTCACTAAACCCCGATAATGGCAGAGTCAATTGGACCTGAACGGGAAGGGAGAGGGATGTGATTTCGAACCGTGGGAAGAGCTTCGGACAACTCGGGGCAACTTGCAGTTTTGTTCTTGATGTTGAAAGGAGTTTTCATTCAGTTAATTCCGGCACAAATGTCGAAAAACTATGGATAGAGCCAGGCCGTCGCCTTCATAGTCAGCTTTGGAAGGTTTTCATCAAGTTTGTGAATCCGCCGGCGTTTGAACAATGAACCAAAGATTTGACTATAGATGCTGGTTGAGTTTGATCTTCAGATATCGTGAACGACGCCGACCCGAACTGAGGACCTTTCCGAATCTATCATTTTGCATAGATGTTCACTGTTTATGACTGATACTTGGTGAACGACATGGCAGAACAACGCGGTGAAGACATATATGTATATGTATATATGTTAGTATGTGGTTCAACAGAGATGTGACTAGACCTGGGAACATTCAAATACAACTAATCGCCTACGAAAACCCGTACTCGAGCACCTCCAGTCCCTTTTCTATGAGCTCATTTACTGTTGCCTGTGACAGGAGGGAATTCATTTTATCCTGCCTGATTCGCAGTGTGCGGAGCATCGGACGGCGACTTTCAAGCATTGCTACCACAGTAGCTTCAGTGAGCCTGCAGAACCAGGAGTTCATGTCCAGGGATTGGAGGTGGGGAAGAAGACCATGTGTTGTTAGCGCATCAACCAACTCCGCTTGCCCGCCAATGGTGAGATGTAGGAGGCTGGATACTTCGAGCAACCCGAGGATGCTAACGAGATCGCGGCCGGGTATGGCAACATCGAGGTTAAGGGAGGTGAGTGTGCATGCGGAGTGGCGTAGAAACAAAATGATGATGGAGGTGAGATCTTCATCGGAAGTCTCGAAATGAGAGCTCAAAGGCCGGTCAGGGGTGATACTGAGTTTCTTTAGGGATGGCGTGGTGAGAGAGTTGACCAGGTCTGTTACAAACGCCGGCGTACATCGGCCGACCTCAAGCGCGCCGATGGGAGATTTCACGCCGAAGGTGAAACGGGGCATCTCATTGAGGGGAAAAACAGTGGTGTCGGCTGAGAGTAGCGGGAGAATCCAGGGTAGATCCTCGATGTGGACCTGACTGAGCTCGCACCTACGGAGTCGGGACCACGGGAACCCAAGGGGGAACCGGCATTCTAAAAAAATATATAGGGCCGTTTTTCTTTTTTCCGGCTCGACCGCTGGACTAACTAACTAACGTAACGTTCCCACGCACCATATATGGTAATTTGTTACGTGTTCAAGTCACCGGTGCGCTGAAAAATCAATGGAGAGCATCCAGATTGAGCTCTTTTCGATGTAGGATACAAATCACAATATTCAAACTTCCAAAACAACCTCCCAACACAATTTTGATCTTCCGTGAATTGTCATCTCTCTTACCATATATGGACTTCAAACTCAGGCAGCAGGTGCAGATGGGAAAACAGGTCAGTTTGAAGGCATACAATACTCAGAGGCTTAAATCAACCCCCCAAAAGCTGGTTAAAGGGCGGTTCTTGGCCAAAAAGTGGTGGTCGAACTTTTTTTTTTCCGGCCTGGCGGCCGGACTAACTAACCGGCCCTTAGTCGCCGGTTTGAATGCCGGTGCCCCCTTGCGGGAACCTAGGAAGTTCAACCCGTTGTGCCGAGTCAACAAATATAGAGTCCATCCACAGTGAGAGCTCCTCCAGTGCTGGAATGGACTCGAATCCTGGTCCAGGAGCGGGCTCTGAAGAATGATACATTCCGTCCCTCAGGATAGAGATAGTGAGCCTTTTCAAGGCCGGGAATGTATGCGTCGACGCAAAGAGGTGCTTGACGGCCGCGGGAGTGAGGCTGAGGCGGGCCTCCTCCCATCGTGGGGAGGCGTCCAGGAGCAGCGGTAAAGTTTGTGCGGCTCCGTCGGTGGAGGTACGGAAAGTGATGGAAAGTGGTGCGTCTGCGGAGCGCTCAAGTTGCATAGAGACATATTTGAGAAGACCCTGCGTTTCAGGCTTGTTCCCGTCAATGTAGCGCGACAGACTGGGCGAAGTCAATGCGGTGGAATGCCGTCGGCGAGAAACCAAAAGCAAGGGCTTCACATCGGAGGGCCCGGGCCTGGACCACGACCGCAATCTCGGAGACAATGCCCAAATATCTCGACCAGGATATCGCGCGGAATGCAGCGTAAGACAGAAACTACGCCGCGATGGTCATGCGCAAAGCGCTGGAGATCCGTGCGCTGCGCGGTCAGCGCGTCCATCGAGTGTTGGAGACGGTCTATTTCGGCATTCAAGGCGGCGATATCCTCATCCACGCCACGTATGGTTTTCTTGATCTCCTGGGCCTGAAGCTCGGAGGGAATCGCGTTGCTGAGAAGTAATTCGGGGTATGGGCTGCGGGGGTTCAGCTCCAATTTCTTCGCAGGGCCATAGTGCTCAGAGCAGAGGTGTTCACAAGTATTTCTAAGGAGACACTGAGAGATTGCGCGGATTGCTGGTCGCAACACTCACGGGCTCATGGGAGTTGAGAAGGAAAGCGGTCAACCCCGGGCCGGGCGGTCGTGGCGGTAACTCTCCCAGAGTCTCGCAGAAATTTCAAAACGGTCAAGTCGGGAAAGACCGAGCGTAAAGTCGCCAGGACTGGCACGAGTCTCAGATTTATGGAAGCGTCATGCATTTTTTTCTACCGTGGCTACAACAACAAAATTTTACGCGATACCCAAAAGAAAGAATCCAAGTCGGGATGGCGGCTCATCCTTCGTGCCTCCCTTGAAATATCCTTTGCAGGTATAGTGTGGGTGAGGTAGTGTGGGTGAGGTAGCGGCAGCATCCTACAATGTCATCTCCTTGAATCAAATAAATTCGCTGCCCATGCTCCTACATCCTTCCTTTACCACCACGGGCAAAAGTGAAGGCGGGCAACGGTCGGCGATGAACCAGCTTCACCCCCACTTGGGGGGCAAAGGCAAAGCGGAGACGGTGCCACGCAACGGGGGACGAGGGCCCACCCCATGCCTCTCTCCAGCGCGGCGTACACCCCCTCCCAACACGCGTGATGCTCCTCCGACTTCCACAAACGATGTGGAGGTCACCCCAACGCCACGGGACTCCACGATCGTAAACTAACGCTAGTAGAGAACGCGAGCCCAAAGCGCGCGACATCTGCCTCTATCCGCCTCTTCGTCGACCCGTGCAGCTCGGAGAAGTGGTAGAAGCGTATGCGTCCGTGGCGACAAAGAGGAGGTGCGTGCCTCCTCCTTCTCCCTCTCGTTGTCGACTTCAGCTTCAGTTTCGGCGGCTTGGACTGGAGATGCGGCTTATCGACCAGGCGAAGACGAGGCTGGGGACAATGCAGATGGAGTAGAAGTCTGCCAAGAAACAAGACTCGTCAGTACAAGCCCGAGTCAATTAGAAACACACACGCGCACGCACACCACCGGCGGCCTCTCTCTGCGCCCAACAGTGGCGGTAGTCGCAGTAGTATCATCGACATCCTAAACCGAGAAGAAAGAAAGACAGTCAGCTCGACTCCACACGCACAAAGTCGAATCCAAAAGGAAAAACGAGAACGAACAATGAAATGGAAAGGAACACACCGCCCCACGTGCCAACACAGGACCACAGGACCTCTGTATGGTGGATGGACGCGATCTCGGGCGGCGGCAGCGCACATCGAGTCTGAGTGCAAGGTGGAAGCAATGCGCGCCCCAAGACACGTGCACCCCGAAAAAATAAAAGGGAGCTAGGAACCACCTCCGAGCATGTGCCTCGCATCCCGTGAATAAGCCTCGACGCCGCGTCTGCTTCGCCCTCCCCCCCAAAAAAAAGAGGGAAAAAAAGAAAAGAAAGAGAAAAAGACAATGTACGCACCCAATACTCGCATTATCAAGCTCCCCACACGCCCTTGTCCTCTCCGCCCGCCCTTCTTCTTCGCCTGGAGCCGGCGCGAGTAAGCTCTCCAAATATGCCAAACTGACCCGCTCGTCGTCGTCCGCTTGAGACTGGGAAGAGCGGGAGTGCCACATGGGACACGCGGGCGCCTCTCCTGCTTCCCCACCACTCTGCCGCTCGCCGCCCGCAGAGCGGACACGACAAGTGGCGCAGTAAGATGACGAGCGTGCGGCGCGACTTCGGCTCGGTTCCTGCGGTCTGTGTACGCGAGTGGGTGGGAGTGGAGGAGCGGTGGTGCCAGTGGAAGGGGAAGCCGGGACGGAGCAGCCGTCGCGCTGGCACCTTCCTGCGCGTGTACCAACGTCGTCTTCCTCCTCCAGCTGAGCATGAGCCGCGCATCCCTCTCCGCCCTCAAGGTGCACGTCGTCTGCCATCTCGCTGTCGGTCATCTCGTGCGCATTCGCATCCTTGCCCCCACCCGCGCGCGCTGATTCAAAACCCCCAGAGAGCTCGTCCGAACTCGCCCCTAAACCGTACCCACACCCCACTCGGCACCAACGGCGGCAGCCCCCGCGCGCGAGTCAGCGCGGCAGAAGAGGGGGAGGACGGTTTGTGGTTGGGCTGTTTGGAGATGGTCGCAGCGCTGGTGTTAACTTTGAGGGGCGAGGTAGGCGAAACAGGCGAGCGGAGGGTGCGGTAGGCGTTATGAGAGAAGCAGGGTGAAAGAGGCGGGAGTGGGAACGGGAGCGCGCCGGTGCGGGACCCGGACGCGTCGGCGAACGCTACACTCGTTGGTGAGGGC